CATCCAGTATTTCATCATGTATGTTGTCTAAATGTGACGTGGAATATGCTAAACAGAAAAATAAGTCAGTTAAAAATAAAAGGATAATAGTTACCCGTATTTGCTACCTCTACAGATGGGAACCTCTCCTAACCATCAGTGTTTGATACAGCAACACAATGAGCAGGCTAGAAATGTCTCCTCATGCACTAGCACCAGTCCCTTCCCCCAGATGCCCATAAAATAGTGGACACAGGCCAAGGAGTCCCATCTCCCAGGAGGCAGAGACTCACTTATCCTCACAACACCCACCCCTCCAGCCCCCAGGGACCACATGAAGAGTAAGGGAAAACCATGAATCACCCCACTCACTGCCTGCATCTCCACAGTCAGTTCCAGATGGGATATCAGGCGTATCACTGGGTGGCAGCCCAGTGAGTCCAAACCCAGCTCCCTCAGTGAAGGGGAGACATGGTGCTGGCCAATGGCCCCTTCTCTGAGCAAAGCTTGAAGACAATGGAAGATGCAGACCAAAGAAGATGGCAACGTTAGCTCCTGGGGCAGGAACCAATGTGCCAGGCACATGTCTGTTGGTGTGTTGAGAGGTGAGGGACATAGTCACGTACCTAAACTTGCAAGCATAATGTATGATTTTATGAAGTCAGGCACTTCATGCCCTCATGGCTGATGGGAGGGTGGGGGAACCCCAGGGACAAGGAGCTGTTGGGGTTGAAATCCCACCTCCTGACTGAGGTGAGAAACTCCTTCATGAAGGTGCCCATGATGCTATTGGCATTGCTGTCTAGCTTCTGAGAGGTTTACCCATATTTGAACACTTTAGGGGGGTGTCTATGCATCCCTCCTCCCCCACACCCCATCTGCCTTGTCATTCAACATCTGTTGCTCTGAAGTCAGTCTGCTTTGATACAGGCAGTTTCTTTATTCCCTATCAACAGTGGATGGCTGTGTGATTCAGCCACATTTTTTGCTGGTGATCAAGATAGCTGGAAGTAAGAGTCTCTCAGTCCCAGAGCTGGCCAAGAGCTCCACTTGATCCCATCAGCCAGCCTGGAGCCACATAAGTGGTGTCTGAGGGAGGCCAGCCAGAAAGACCCCACATTTCCCAGTAGTCCCTCATAGTCCAAAGAGATGTCTTAACTGGTCATACCAAAGTTAAATTAATCTTGATATAATTAACACAATGCCTGCCTCCCTATGCTTGCTGCAAAAGTACAAGTATTTAGAAGGGCTTCATCTAAAGACCTTCTAGGTTCTTGGTAAAGCCTCCCCTACTGTCTCTAGCCACATCCACTGCCTAAGAGATGAGTCACGTACCTTTGCAGAAAGGAAACACAGTGCTCATTGTGAATAAAACAGATGCAGTCACTGGTTGTCAAAGGTCACAAGGTCCCCACTGGGCAATGATGTTGTTTCCCAGCCTGTTTTACACCAGAGGACAAAAGGGGAGCATCACATATGCTCAAGGAACTTCACCATCGCTAGCCTTGTACAGGCAGGGTTTGATTGCACCCCAGTACTAAGCAACCTGGATGAAGGCACAAACAATACCCGAATGCTAATCCAAGCCTCTGCGATGACACATCACCAAATTCTGCTTTCATCTCAGACAAACGTGGGTGATGCTGCTCTTCCTGCCCACTTCTGTTACTGATTCTGTGTGGTTACCTATGGAAGTCTATGGGGCACCTCATTCCACCCTGCCTGGAGGTAGGACTCCAGGGGCTACATACACAGCCACCAGGACATCAGGCACAGCAGCCTGGGGTCAAGGCTGCAAAGAAGGGCACGAACTGTTTCATAACTAGGATGGGGAGATTTACTGACGTAAGAATTTTGTTGGGAGAAATTCATCCTGAATGTTAAAAAAATCTGAAGGGATCATTTCCCTCTCTCTGCTACTGTTATACACCACATCTTTTTTCTGCTTTTGCTTTCACCTATGTCATCTGTCAAATAAGATCATCCTATGTCTCTTTTTATATTCACAAATTGCATGAATTCCATTATGAAAACACTACGAATTGTATTTTGTGTCATTTGTTGCTGAGCATTTGCCGCATGCAGCAGGAAATTTTTCTCTTCCCACCACGAAACAGTGACATGGATACAAAGCTAAACATCCATTCTGCACAGTACTATAAAACCACTGGTGGTTTTTTCCAGGTGGTAAAAAACCATATCACAAATCATCCTCATTTCCCACAGAATGGAGCTCCCCTTCTCCTGTCAGCCTTTTGAGCAGAAGGATGGGCTTTGCCCTACTCCCAGTCTTCCCAACCAGGACAAGTGGCCAGAGAGGACAGTGTGACTGTCAGCTGTCTGTGGAACCAGCTCCCCACAGGAGGCCACAGATCCCTGGGGACACCCTGGCACCATGGGCTGCCTCAGCCACCCAGCAAGTGTAGGGCTGGCATGGCACAGCAACATCTGGGCCACTAGAAGTCCAAAAAAAAGCAGCACAGACATCTGTTTCTGGTCAAACTCCTGACAGCCCTGCATATGTCCATACCCATTATTCTGCCAGATACTTTCTAAGCATTTCACTATTGCGTTTGGTGATGCAGCACCATAGTCAGGCTGGAAAACAACTGCAAATTCAGGCAGGAGGGTCCTTGAGGTGCTGGGTTCATGGGCTGCAAAACACAGTCACCCATGTCCAGTTCCACCACTGTTCCAGGGCTAACCCTGTACTGGTAAATATGATCACAAACCGAGGAGAGTGTTTTTATGTACCATCTTGGCCCACTTATCTAAGGTTGAGCATGAGAGAGTTACCTCTCTGTCCTGGGTTCAGCAGTAGCAGTCATTTTTCTCCTTCTTAGTAGCTGGTGCAGTGCCGTGTTTTTTACTTTCAGCCTGAGAACAGTGCTGATAACACCGATGTTTTTAGTTGTTGCTCAGGAATGTTTACTCTGACCAAGGGCTTTCTGAATCTCATGCTCTGCCAGGGAGGAGGGGAAGCCAGGAGGAAGCAGAGGCAGTACACCTGACCCAAACTAACCAAAGAGGTATTCCATACCACAGCACATAATGCCTATTATATAAACTGGGGGCAGTTACCCAAAGGGTTAGATCACTGCTTGGGTTGGGCTGGGTATTGGTTGGCAGGTGGTGAGCAGTTGTATTCTCTTCCCTTGTTATTTCCCTTATCATTATTATTATTAGTGGCAGCAGCAGTGGTTTGTGTTATATCTTAGTTACTGGACTGTTCTTATCTCAACCCACAGAAGTTACATTCTTTTGATTCTCCTTCCCATCCTTCCGGGAGCAGGGGGGAGGAAGAGGGTAAGTGAGTGGGTGGCTGCGTGGTTCTAGATTGCTGGCTGGGCTTAAACCACAACCCTCCTTTCAAATGGAGCTATGAAGTCAAGCATCCTATCTCACAGCTAAGGTCTCTTAGGTGTTGCAAACACCGGTGGATAAAGATGGGTAAAACAAGACCATCTCCCTGCATCCCTTCCCTGCACCTCACAGTTTGGGCAAGGCACCAGAGCAGTGTTTGGTGAGATACCAATGCACTCAGATGTACAGACACATTAGCACACACACTCCATCAGGGACTAGTTGCATGATATTGTCCTACAGCCTCTTCTTGTGATCTCTTTGTGACAAATGTCCTTATGATCTCTATTCTCCACACTACTCAAGGCAGCAGTAACTTGTTACCACCTTTCCTTCAGTTGGTGGGTGAAACTTTGGAAACTAGATTGTACTTTCAGTGAAACCCATAAAGAAACAATTATTAAATAACAGAACTTAAACATTTCCAAAAGAAGTTAGAAAACATACCTCTTTATTAGGAACAAAATCATAATGGGGAAAAGAAAACCATCAAAAAAGAACAATAGCTGGATATGAACACATACAGTTAAAGGAAGAGAACAGGCTGCACTTCTCACCTCTCAGTAGCAGAATCCTTTGCCCTGCATCTTCAGCAAGGAAGGACAGAAATCCAGCCATGTCCTCATAGACATATGCCTCATAAAGCCATGTACCCCATAAAGCCATCTTGAGTCTCAGATTCCTGTCTCAATGGGAAAACTGCTTCCTGGACTGGGGTTACACTAATGGTGGTGAAGTGGTGGTGCTAATAGGGCACCTCAGCCCTCCCAGGGCTGACAGAAGCAAGGCAGCACTAGGACAAGCTGAAGCCAGGCTGCACCAGCCCAGCAGGACAAGGGTGGCCCTACTCTGCCACCCTCAGCACCAGAATGCAGCTGGCTTCTACTTCAGAGCAGCCCAAAGAAATGTTCCCCCTTCAAAGCACGTGCTGGAGTCGACTGTCCCCTGTCTGCCCCTGGCAGAAAGTGCAGAAGAGATGCAAAGCTGACTGTCCTCCCATTTTGGTGACAGCAGCCCCTGTTCACCCAGCATCACTCACTGCCACTGTGCTGCTTACAGGCAGTTGCCACCCCAAGCACTTGGTGTCATATTTTTGTCATTCAACTCACAGCCTTTGAGGAATATTTGCACTGAAAGGAGCTAGAACAGCACCATGAGGAAAATAAATAGTATCTTCCTCTTACTGTGGAAAATCTGATTCCTACAGCAGCCTTAAAAAGCAGAGAGGCTGAATCACCACCAACACAACACATGAGAGCCAAACATCTTCTAAACAGAGTTACAAGACAAGGAAATAGCAAGAACAACCACCTATGGCTGGGCGTCACAGGTGCAGAGCTTTGACATGTACAGACATGCAGACTTCAGGTGAGCATGCAGCAGTCCCACCAGCTCCCCCGCCTGGGAGAGAAGTGGCTTCAGCTTGGTTTTAGCTTAGCTGGGGTACTCGCAGACCTTGTTGGGTGACATTTACAAGGCATACCTCAAATCTGTTTCCAAGAGATTCACGGCACAGTATCAGCACAATATAAAAGAAGAACAAAAGAGATGCAAGAAGGGAAGAGAGGAATGCAACACGCACTTCCCCACTCCTTTCAGCCTCAACCTGTACCATCTCTCACTCTATCATGCCTTTCTAGCTCATAGGGCTAGTTAACACCAACATGGCTCACTTCCAGCTACCAAAATGCACTCATACAGTAAATACCTTGCTCTGGCAGCACATCTGCAGTACTTCTTGTGCCTCAAGAACCCTGAAGCCCCAGGCAGCTTGCCAGGGACTGTTACCTGCTGCCTGGGATCGAGTCTTTGCCCTCTCCTTACCTCATCCTTCTTCCCTGCAAGTCTACCCCAGCTGCTCTACTTGCAAACCTCTCCTGAGCAGAACAGGATGTGCGTAGCAGTAAGACTTGCCTAAGAGAGTCTGCGAATGGCTCCTGCCTGTCCAAGTAACACATCACTGAAAAAGCCTACATGTACAGGCAGATGGCCTGCTTTATGAGCTTGCAGTAGCTAAACCATTACACAAAAGGCACTAATGCTTGCACTGATGAACGATCTCAGCATTATAATCAACATTTCTGACAAAATTACACACCCCATGCCCCCTCCCGCTGCAAGCAAGCAAGCTAGTGATGGAGCTGTTTTAACTCCTGAGCAGTGAGGTTCTGGTGAAAGACATTACAGGGCATCAAAAGGCAGGCAAGCCAACATCACTTCCTAGGGTCTGCACACAGCAGTCCCTGCCACCACCACCACTCCTTGTCCCAAACAGCAGGTAGTGACCAAATCACAAAGGGGCTGGAGCTCAGAGGAGTGATTCAGATAGACACCAAGCACAGCAGATACCTAACTGAGACCTCCATTGAGCTTTTTTCTGAGGGCCTGTGAAAAATGCCTTGAAATCTCTGAAGGAGGGGCTTTCTCAGGAAATCTCTGTCAAGTTCTTGTTTCTGTCTGGGACTGGAAGGCCATCCCAACCTGCCTGCCATGCCTGCTGCTTGCAGGAGCTGTGAGAGATACAGCAAGGCATAAGGTGGCAGGAAGCAGAGGAGCTGCCTATCTCATTTCAGGCTGTCCTCTGGGGCACCACAGTTTAGCTGCAGGTCTATTAAGAGGCAAAGCATCAACAAGCTGCCCAGTTTTGTTTGTTAGAGAACCTGTCAGCCCACAGCAGTGTGGCCTTCAAGCCAAGAATCTGCTTTTCCTTGTATACATTTTTTTTTTAATGAAATTAGCAGGCCTGACACCTCATGCCTTTCCCCTGCTGAAATTTCCTAGACTAACTCTTACACATAGTGGGACTATGGGATGCAAAGGACAGGTGTTGTAGGCTTCAAGGCAGGGTAGAACAGCAAGCATGCCAGATCAGTCATCAGTTGGATCCGGGAAACAGTCTGAGGGATTTTGCTGGCTTTCCACATTAACTATGACCTCTGGGTCTGGCATTTCCTCAGACTCCACCTCCACTGACAAGTTTTCTTCCACAAGTGGCTGAGGCTCAACATCTTGATCAGTCTGGGCAGCATCTGCAGAAGAAGGGAGAGGTGATTTAAATGCCTGCACTATGCTCACCCTTGTGGAAACCCTTCCCCAGCCCCTGATGCTGCTGGCTGCCTAACCCACTCAGTCCCCTCTACCCAGGTGTCTGCAAGCAAAATTTCAGTCTTCTTTGTAACTACTCATTTATTGAGTTGTCCGTTATAGCTTTAGACACTTTGGTGTCCCAAATATATAAAAATACTAAAGCCAAATCTACTCAGTTACATCTGAGTAATTAAGGCTGAGAAACAGCATATATTTAATATATTCTCACCTGAACACTTTAAATACACACCTCTGCTTTCTACTTATTGGTAGAAAACTTGAATGTGAGATACTTCGTCAGTCACACTGACAATGTGCAAATCTTTTACTAAAAAAAAGTTCTACAGTTTAAGTAGAGGGTGAGGGCAAGAGTCACTCCTGTGTAGAAGCCAAGCACAAGTAACATACTGATAAATGACCTGCTGCAACTCCTGTTGTCTGGACAAAATGTAGCACCTTCTAAGCATGTACTCACCAAGTGAGTCCCAGGCCCCTCTCTATAGTTGGCTCCTACCCTATCAGCCACGCACATCCCTTTTGTCCTTCACCCTCCTAAAAAAGCTATCTGTCCAACTTAAATCAAGTCACTGGACCCACCAGGCTTTGGAGGACAGTCAATTTGGGCAGCTTGAGCCTCAACATGGTCTCCACTGCGGGGGCTCTTCACACTTTCACGGGAGATCATGGACATTGTTAGTCTGTCATCCTTCTCCTCCTCTGCAAAACCAAAACCGGAAACTTGAAACAAAGAGGTCCTGCACATCCCAGCAGCCTCAGCACATCCATTGCAAGGCCAGACCACCAACACATGCTTGTATCTCCTCCTCATGTGGCACTGGCTCCATTCCCAGACCAGACAGATGCCATGTACAGTGGGCCAAGCTGTCAGAGACCAGCTTGGGCATGCTGGCAGGATCACAGCTTGAGATGACGTCACTGGGCAGAGGCAGATTGCAGTCAGGGACTGGTGTTGGCAAAGGACTGCCATCAGAAGCCTACAGGTCATTTCAGGATTAGACATGAATGAGGCTCAATTTTCTTGCCCATAGAAGAGATTTTGTTGTTTCTTTCTTTTCAGGAGTGCATGGTGGCAAGCGTGAGGTGAAAAAAGGAAAAGCAAGGTTTAATTCCACACCCTGCTGGTCACAGTAGTTGCCCATCAGCATGCAGCTTTCTGCTCCACCAGGACAAGGGAGGACTGGCTAGAAGACAAGTAGCGACCCAGCTGAGACCAGTTTATGATGAGGCTATTTTAACCTCAGCCTACACTGAGGCTCCTCCCAGGGGGAAGCAGTGTTCTCCACTCACCTGAAGGCACTGGGATGAACTTGTGTTTCCTTTTCATGCAGCAACATATGACTGAGGACACAAGCGCTATCAGGATAACTCCACCCCCTGCACACCCTGCAAGGATGTAGATGAACCACGGATACTGCAGCAGGTCTCCTGCAAGAAGAACATGGCACTGTTAGTTACCAGGGTGGACAAGCTACTTCCTCCAAAGGGGAGAAATCCTGCAGCCAGGTTAGAGCATGTGGACATTACTGTTGCTTTGGATGAGGGGAGCTGATTCTGTGAACTGTGGCACATCGCGACTTATATCGCATCATTTAATTATAGTATGGGATTGTTTGTTAAGAGACTTGCTTGGTTAAGCTATGCGCATTTGTTTATACCTACTCTGACCAGTAACATCTAAGATTTAAGTTTTAAACAAATTTAACAAGAAAGGTGGTGGTTTGAAAGATATTACATGTCAACAAGGTTTATGAAAACTGACAGCTGAGAAGGTAGCATCTCCTGCTGAAAGAAAAGCTGCAGAGTCCAGCGACAGAGCTTGTGCTAGGGGCCAGAAAACCCACTTGTAACAACCATGTAACAACTACACCAACCTCAAAGCAAGTCTGATAAAAGATAACTTTCTCAGCTACCACAGACTTCAGCCACCTGAGTCAGAGCTGTAATAAACCACTTTGACTGCCACCTGGGGAAGTATTTCTCTTTATTCCGCTTCCCACCTGAGATCATTCAAAACACCTAGCAGGAGGGGAAGGCTACAGATGGCTGAGCAGAAGGCCACACACAAGTCAGTGGTAATTACTGACCAGCTCAGAGTCCCTTGCTCAGGGTTGCTTTGATGGGTCAGCCTTGTACGTAAGTTGCTGCTGAGCAAGGAAGCTGACTTGCAGAAGAGTGATTAATCCAGACTGGCTCTCTCTCTAAGACAATTTATTCCAACCTGGGGCAGCCAGAAGGAAAACTCTTCTTCCCACATGAAAAAAAAAAAAAAAAATAAAAACAACCCTATACAGCTGAACTATCACCATAATGCAGAGTCCTTAAAACTTCTTAGGTGAGCTTATACAGTCTCTTTTTTAATCATTTGGCTTCTTTTTGGCTGCACGCACCCCTGCATAGCACCACACTCTAGAAACCAACAGGTTCACATACAGCCTGTTTTCAAGACCCCATATGCACAAATTGCTGCATATCCCCAGAGGCTGGGAAGTGTTTCAAATTTTCCAGGACATACTACACACTGTTATAGTCCACACACTCACCAGCACAGTAAAAACAAGGGTACAGTGCTCCTCCTGTGTGTGAAATCACACATACTCAGTATTTTTGGAGCACTTGTTCCAGTCTCTTTAGAAACAGTTACCAAGTTCAAAAAAAATCTATATTTAAAATTAAACTTTCAGCAAATGAAAAATAATTTCCCTAACAATTTCATTTCCTTTTTTGATAAAAGCTTAGAGAATATTGTCAGAAGTATAAATATATGTTGGATTTTTTTTTCCTATTTTTTTCTAAGAAATTACCATTTGTTAAAAAGGTCTTTTTGAGATAAAATATCATGTTAAAAATCTGTAATAAACAAGTAATAAAAAAGTAATGAATCAATAAAAGCCTTTTATGTATGTTGACTTGTTAAATTCTGAAATCTCTGCTTTAGATCCCTCTGGTCAGTCTTTGGTGCCTCATCAGTATACAGTATTTCTGCCAAATTGTTTTAAGCTGTTATTCAAAATCAATTTCAGCAGCCAAGAGGTTGCCTAAATAACTGTTTTTTACATACATTTCATACCTCCAGTGCAAAACTATATTCAGCACTTTGCCTGGAGCAAATAATAACCAACAAAAAAAAAAATAATCTGTTAATCTTTAACTGAACTTGTTTCTCTCTTCAAGTTGCTTTACTAGTATTCAGAATTGCTTTAGTTTACTTTTCACAAATGTAGTTGCATCTAGTGACTAAAAACTTGAATCTCTGCTGTGTTCTTGCTCTCGGACCCTTCCAAATCTGTGTTCATGCATGTGTCCATCCCAACAGACCTATCACTAATTTCCCCTGTGGGCTTTTCAAAAGAAAATGGGGAACCAATATCACACCCGGGGACTGGGCAGCCACCCAGAATAAACAATGGTAACTGCCAGCACTCGCATGTTTTATCACAAGGCTTGACTGAACAGCTTGTGGATGTTCACATCCTCATTCCCCAGTGCCACAACCCACTTGGGTCTGACTACACTACCTCTGACCAATTTAACCAGACAAAATGAAGATAATTTTCCACAATCACAAGTGCCAGACCTGCACAGACTACCCAGTGGTGCCAACATGATCAGGCTGGACGAGCCCCCAGCATTTCCACTGAATGCTAGTACACATGAAACATGGTTTATGTCAGTAATTTTGCTTTCACACCAACTGTATGACAACCATAGAAAAAAAAAAGACAGTAGCTGCTATGGACGTGGAATGCCTCAGTTTCTAAAATGCTAAGTGCTATTGAACAGTACAATCTCTTTAGTAGCAAAGATGAATAAATTGATTACACCTAAATTTGTCAAAACCTTATAGATAAAGAATTGTGCTAATTTGATATAGTTCTGTTGATCATCTTCACTGCCAGAGAAGAGAAAAACCATCAATGCTGGTGCGCACACCCAAAGTTATCTAATAATTTTGTTTGTTCGTTTGTTTGTTTGTTTGAATGTGAGCTTACAACACATGCATCTTGCAGTTCTGGCAGTTTTGATCAGTTCTAGGATCTTGATTTTCTGTCCCATTAAATCATGGCCTCATTCCAGCAGAGTACTCAGCATATATGGATAGCTTGTCAACGGATGAAGTCATAGCCTTATCACAGATCTACATATCTGAGCAGAGACATGGAGAGAAAATCCACTACATTTCATAACTAAATGAACTGTGTCTTTACCGCACCTCTGGTGATGTAGGGCTGATGGAGAGACATTTGTATAGACTGGTAAATCTTTGTGCAGCTGGCCTAAATAAGGAGAAAAAAGACAAGGCAAAAAAACCTCAGCTTAACCCAGCAGCAACAGGGCTGAACTAGTGGACATGTTTTTACAGGGATGTTGCAGAAACTCGAAAGCTGTCTGGGTAATGGATGAAAGTCAGGCAGATAGCAGCTCATGTTTCTAAACTGGCATAGAGGATTGGTGCACAGGAGGGTGCACGGTCTCCATCACTGGGAAGTAGGAAAATGGACAGATGGCAATCCATCCTTGCTGTAGGGTTGGGTAAAAGGACCTCCTGAACAAATTCTCATCCTTTCTGTGGTTGTAGGCTATGTCATTTGGAGACACAGGAGGGAGGAGGAAGTCAAGGGGAAATTTCCTAAGAGGGAGGATGTGGCAAGACTGTAAGGCAGCTGCCAGACGACAGAAGAGGTTGGTGTTATTCTGACAGCAACAACTCATTGGTTTTCTGCTGCAAGAGACCAAAAGAGAGGTTTTCTGGAGACACCATTACTCACCATAGCTACAAGAGAGCAAAACAGGCCTGGTCCTGGTGACACTGTTCCCATGGTAAACCTCACATACAAACTCCCCGGGAATGGTTTTGTCCAGGCGAACCTTCTTCCCACCATCCTTAACACAAGCCTCAGGGGCACTCATCATGGTGCCATTCAGCAGCCACTGAAAGCTGGTGCTCTCGTTGCTGTTCACGTTGCAAGATAATTCTCCAGTCCCATTAGGAAAGCACTGGATACCGATGGCTGGCTCTGGTCGCACACAGCACAGGGCAATGGAAACAGGAAGGAAAAAGAGAGGTGAGGAACCAACTCAGCAGTGAACAGGAGCTGGACAGGAGCTTCCCTTACTACCACATTTACCACCAGGGAGCACAGAAGTAAACAACCAGGCTCCTAAGTGCCTGCCCCCAGCCCTCAAATGCTTAGCAGTGCCCACCCAACCCTGCTGGTGACTCCTGGTACCTATTTGGGGGGGTGCCATGAAAATCTGGTGTTTCTTTATTTTCCTTACTGAAATTGAAAACATGATCTATAAAAGCCCCTGATCTGAAAGGATGGTGCAAACACCCAAAGCATATGTCATCCAGGGGCTTCCTCTGTAATCAACAGGTAACTAGCTTCAGAGGAGACTCAGTCGTCTCCTCCCCCAGAGGTTTGTACTTTTGTTGTCACTGTGCCTCTTCTATTTTAGAGAGCAATTGGTACAAATCATGTCCAACATAGGTACCAGACACCTGCAGGTAGACAGGATGAGCCAGACTAGGCCAGTTCGAAAGGAAGTTATGATTCATCGATCTTACTACATTTTTTTTAATTTCTCTCTTTCTGTCTACTACAAGGAGCCAGGCTATTTCCTAAATTTGCCACTTTGCAAATACAGACTAGACAGAGAAATAGTATGGTTTTAAGGCAGTAAGAGTAACTCTGAGAATGTTGATATAAACATCCATGTAAATAAGCTCAGAAATCACTTTGTTCAACTAGGACATTACCTTCAGCTAAAATTCACTGCCTTCAGGACTACCTTTGCTGTGACTTAGGTGTGGCAACAGAAAAGGAGGAGACAGAAGTTCCCAAAGCAAATTCACTGAAATGGAGGTTAAATCCAGGACACTTCTGCAGTCTTTTCCTACTTCCAGTCTAAGCCGCTGATCTTCATGGCAAGGAGTCACATCTTTGACCTACTCTCCATGGCAGTTCTGCCTGTTTGCACCCAAAAGGTTTAAAGATTCATTTGTCTTCACTAAGACCAGTCTGCTCAGACATTTCCATTACAATTTCATATGCTTCAATCTCCCTTAGAAGCTTTTTTAAGTGAAAGCCCTGCAAAAGGAATGGTGGAGATGAGGACCAGAACAATGTTCGCTGGCTTTCTGGAGTACTATTCAGCAGGGGGAAAACCCATTTAAGCTTTCTCCATATTAACACAAGCAGTGAGCTGGATCTGGTACAGAAGTGATTTTGCATCTGTCTTCTCACCCCACAGATGGATGAGCAGGCACACAAAGGGGAGCAGCAATTCTGAGGCCATAGGGAGGACAGCAGGGAGACTGGCATGGGAAGAAACCTGTATCTGATCTCTGAACAGACCCAGAAGATACTGACCTCCAAGCTGCTCAGGGGCACCTAAAAATCAGAAAGTCATACCCAGGTTTGTTTAGCACCTTCCCTCAGTTGCATGAAGCAGGAGAATAACCCAGCACACGTCAACCCAGACCCATACAAGACCAGTTCAGTTTCCAGAGCCAAGCAAGGTAGAGTTAACTCCTTAAGGAAGCATGTGCATGGGCAACAAAAATGCTGTTGGGTCAGTGAGAGATTTTGTGAGAGCCATCAGAAAGAGTACTCTAGAAATAGACTGAAATCCATTACCAGCTACAGGTCTACATACTGTAGGCTCAACTTCACAAACAATTCGTGCTGTTATCTCTTACAGCAGGAAAAACAGCACATCGCTCAACTCACTGCCTACTTAAAGGCTCAACAGACAGGAGAGACTCACAACACAGATGCAACAAGCATCCCTTAGTTTACACTCACCATTACTGCTCCCTGAGGTGTCAGAATATTAAAAAGCTGTTCCAGAGGCACCTATAGCTCCTGCAAGCTGAAGTGGTCTCTTAGAGGAAGAATTTCAAGGCACCAGCTTCCAGACAGGCTCACAAGTTCAAATGTTATTTGTTGGTAAGTAGGCTACTTACCAAATACTTGCAGTGTAAAAACTCTGGTGGTGTTGTGAAAAACAAACTCATATTTTCCTTCGTCCTCTTTCTCCACAGTCTTCAGCACTAGAGAGCCATTCCGGAAGTTCAGGCATCTGGGGGCAGAAGTGCCACACTTGGCCAACAAGGTATCACTCAAGACACTTGTCAAGCATCTCATGTCCCTCTTGCTCATACTGGAGAGGTTCTGCAGGCTCTGAATTCCCACAGAGAAGGCTGCTGAGCTGCCACTGAGCACACTGGTCCAGGTGACAGAGCCTAAAGGAGAGATGCAGAGTGCGGGCAGCAAGCTTGCGGTGTCCATCCATCCCCTCAGCTGCCTCCCAGACAGGCAAATGCATAGGTGAGGCCTCAAGAGGCACAGACCCACCCCTAGTGACAGGCTGTAACTGGAAGTCAGAGGAGTGGGAAGCCTTGCATAAAGGCCAACTTCCCCCCACCCTGTGACACAGGAGTGGTGTGCACACCACGCACACATTACAAAAGACTGAGTACCCTATTTTTTCTCTCCTTAAATTTGACATGAACATCTCCCACCCAACCCTCAGAGCTGCAAGACTGTGCAGGCAGATACTCTGGGCATCGATGCCATGGATCTTTTACAGAGGACAGCAAAACCAACTGCTGCCTGCACAGCTACTTTTCCACAAAGAGTAAGGTGGCGGCTTTAACTTTAACAAGTCTTACAGTAATCCTGCATGCTATGAAGTTGCTGTACACAAATAAGAGGTGGATAAATGGCAGGGCAGCAGCAGCTCGGGGACTAACCCAAGGTCACATCAAGCATTAGGAGCAGGACCACATCCTCCCTAGCCCCTCCAGCCAGTGTTCTGCCTACAAAGACATTACATTCTCCTTTGAAATGCTTTGACAGATGCAGTACACTAAGAAAGTATTCTATTGTTAATTATCATTCATTTACTAAAAAAAATAATCTGTCTTACTTTGGTCTGACTACCCCTTTCATGCACTAGTACTTATGCTATTTGACATCTCCCCAAACCTGGTAGAGTCATTAAGAGATCTTGGAGCAAAATTAAGCTGTCTGCCAATTTAGGCAATCTGTGCCAACTTCGTAAAGAAAAATCCCACTTACCATGAGTAACAGTTATTATCACCAGCAAGCACTGCAGAGTAAAAGGAGAGCTGAAATCCATATTAAAGAGCTCCTTGCACCATATGCTGAGAAGACGATCTGGCTACAGCGCTCAGTGAATATAGCACTCAGGAAATGATGTCAGAAGTAAGAGAAGAAAAAAAAAAAAAAAAGAAACTCCAGAGATTGAATAATGTTTCAAAATAGACCTGCAAGGTTTTGGGTGACTGAACTCAGGCTGAACAAATGCAAGCCACAATGTGCTCTGTGCCTTGATGCCAGCTGCAAGTGTGAGAATTAGGGCTGAGAGGTAAGGAGAGGCAAAAATATCTCCTGGCCAGCTCACCCTGTTTAGGAAGATGCCAACACCAAGAGCAGGCAAAGGCAAAACACTTTTTTCTTTAATCCTTTTCTAGTTTTTGAAGTACTGTATCTCCACCCAGGGAGAAAAATCAGTCCAGTCAGATAAAACATTGCACATGCACACCAGCTGAGATACCAACAACAATCAGTCACACAGAGTCTTACCAGCAGCACAGGTGGGAGAAGGCACACAAAGGTACATTGCCAGCCTGAACTTGCTGGGCTCTTCTAGTGCTTGAATAGTACGCCACGCAGAAAAGGGCTCCATACATCCACCCCAGGCTCAGAATAAAGGTTATGGGAAGTTGCATTGCAAAACTGGACAGAATGCACCCAGAAGCCACCCTGGCTCTGTTTGTAGTGCAGATCCTAGAGACAAGACCAAAAAGACAGTCTTTTAAGAACCACAGTGAACCAGTTACCTACAAGGCCATACAGGCCCAGACTCTTTGTTCACATTCATTGAGATGGCTTGAAGTAAACTGGCATTTTACACTGAGTACCAAGGTGGATTGATTACACAAGCAACACGCCAGAAACCATCTCACTCACTGAAGGAAGTAAACTTCCATAACACTAGAGCCAACGTCTGGATTTTTTTAGATGCACTTAGCAGGTGTACTAGGGAACAACTGTTTAGAATGCAGCTGGCAATCTTACACTTTTATGTCTGTGTCCAGAAAAACTGCACAAACACAGCCTGTTAAGGAAGCTCCATACTGTGGAATTATATGTATAAACATTTCTGAGAAATGGTTAAACAGCTTATGTTGTGGTCCACACTATTTTTCAAAGAATTTGGTTCTGCTTGATAATTCCACATTTCAGCCACTGGTTTGGTCCCTCTGACTTCTCAATAATGACAATTACAGCTCATCTCCTACACCTAGTGTCCAAAATTCACAGGTTTGTTCAAGGCTACCACAGCATCATCCTGTCTTTATCATACATGTATAGGACAGGTCTAAATTGATCAAAGATGTGCCGTAGCCTTCTCTGAGAAAAGCAGTGAAGCAAGTCTTCAGACGTAACAGTGTGGAGGAAGGGATAGAAAGAAAAGTATTTACAGTAAGAAACACTTTCATTTCCTTCTGTGCTGCTGAAATGGCATGAAGAAAATCTTTCTCAAATATCACTGCAAGACGGGCTAACTACCTGCCTTGGTAGCACATTCAACTTCATTTCACCTTCATGCGTGAAGGGCAAGCTGGTAGAGCTGAGGGTTGCAGTGCTATGGTGAAAGCACAAGACAGAACAGACAGTATGTGCAGGGTCGCTTCAAAATAGCACTCCAAGATTTTCAGAGTCACAGAAACACAACAAAATGCAAAAGGGGTTTGCATACAGCCACATCCAGCAAAAGTTCACTTCTCCTCCAGCCAATGACAGCAGAGTCACAGAGCTCATTTAAAGATCTGCAGTAAAATCTAAGGAAAAAATGACCTTTCTACTGTAGCTCTGTTGCTCCAGAAGTGACTGAATGACTGTGACATTGCAGTGTCCTTTATTTAGTCTCCCTCTCAGCAACTCCAGTACAAATGAGTACATTTATGAGTTCAATATTTCTTGACTGCAAGTGCCCCATACATCACATGGTATGTGAAGTCCCATTAGGTTCCTTCTGTCCCTCACAGCCTCACTAGCTAAGAAAAAAAACCTCACAGCCAGGATGAAGATGACAACACATGCACAGCCTGTGTTGTCATCCATCAGCAGCCTCCTCTTAAGAGCAACCCTCTCAAATTACATGTATAATGAATTTCTTTGACGAGATTACACTAATTTCTAACATTGGCTAATGAATGCTCACAACACCCTTGGCTAGCTAGAAAATTCACTTCCCTTTTTTATATAAAGACATAAACTTTTGTGTAATTGTTGCAGATAGAAAACATCTTGTGAGGCTTAACAGAAACTACAAGTAGAAGGGAGGGGGGGAAATAAGAAAGGCATGGGAGAGGGAGGTGATCCTGCCTCTCTACTCTGCTCTCTGAGACCCCACCTGCAGTATTGCATTCAGCTCTGGAGCTCTCAACACAAGAGGGATGTGTTGCTGCTTGAGTCCAGAGGGCCAGAAAGCTAGACCACTTATCTATGGATACAGGCTGAGAGACTTGGGGTTGTTCAGCCTGAAGAAGAGACTTCATAGCAGCCTTCCAGTACCTAAAGGGGGGCTACAAAAAATCTGGAGAGGGACTTTTTACAAGGGCAAGTAGTGATAGGAGAAGGGGGAATGGCTTTAAACTGAAAGAGGGGAGATTTAGATCAGACATTAGGAAGGAATCCTTCCCTGTGAGGGTGCTGAGGCGCTGGCACAGGGTGCCCAGAGAAGCCATGGCTGCCCCATCCCTGGCAGTGTTCAAGGCCAGGTTGGACGGGGCTTTGAGTGACCTGGTATAGAGGAAAGTGGCCCTGCCCATGGCAGGGGGTTGAAACTGGATCAGCTTTAAGGTCCTTTCCAATCTAATCTATTCTATGTTTCTATAAGAACTTGTAGCTGGAAGGTGAACTAAAAATCTTTTTACATGGTCAGTTGCAAGGTCACAGGATTATTTTGTTCATTAAGCCTCCAACAGCATCACAAAAGGAGAATAGAGATTCATTCCTTACATGACATGAAGCATTGATAGAACACACGAGATTGGAAAACCTGAGCTAGCAAATAAAGCAGGAAGTAAGTTGTGAAGTATTACAGAGAAATTTGTACACACTAACTCTGCACATCTTCCTTTAAATAGGTGGTGTTAGCAGTGTACCTGTTTTTACTGTTGTTAATGCCTGTCAGTGTTAACTGGGGAAATACACAGGCATGGCTTAACATGGAGGAAGGCGGCAGAGCCAGATGCTAGAAACTCAGTGTGTGGAAACAGAAAATGAGCCCACAGCTCCAGCAATGCATGGAGCCGGCTCTTCAGGCTGCTGAGGCCTCCCTGCCCCAGAACCGTCTCCTGGCCACAGCATGGCCATGGCTACACCACAGGCTGCCAGGGCACATACAACCCGGTTTCTGCAGCACTGGGAGATGGAGAGGCTTGCAGTCATGTTGACTTACCTGTTCAATCCACGCCTAGAGCTATTCATGCATGAGACTGTTTTTAATTAAACATGTTTTGAGTGGCGCTGAGGAGGGTTTAGATGTGCAGTCACAAAGCAGGAATGGCGGCCAAGCTTTCAAGATGCTTCTGTGGGGGGGTCAACAGGATCCCAGAGGCTGAACTTGCAGAGACTGATAGAGATTTATGTTCATAAGAATAAGAATTCTTTGCTAAATCAAACAAGGCAGAGAGCTATTCTTGGACGCTGAACTCTTTCTTGATCAAAGAAACAGTAATAACAAGCAAAACATAGAAGAGTATACATAAAAATGTTTACGCTTACATTTTGGTAAAGAGACCGTCACACACTTCTTTTCTCTAACAGCAAAGTTGGGAAATTACAGTTACTTTACAGCTTACTTAGGAATCAGATATATAATCAGAGTACTCCTGTAAATCATGTTCATGTAAATCATGTTCAGAGCAAGTGACCTTTGGACAAAATAGGTTGTACTGGCATAGTAAGAAGAGTGACCAGGACTTCCGGTCATAGATGAAGGCCCTCTTGAGTCAGGGACTCTGCAGGCCCACATAGATCTGTAAAATGGAAATAAACCTGCAGACTCCCAGCTACAGATCACAAGGACATGGACATAAATAGATTTCCCAGGTAGCCCCGCAGTACAGGCCTGCCAAATACCGTATGTTCTGCATGAGACCTGCTCCACTGGCCCTTGTCCCATAAGCTGTCCTGTAGCACTTTCAGTTCATATGTTTGTGATACAGGACCGCAGCACTGCTGCCTGGGACCCAACACACCAGGAAGAGCCTGTCAGTCTGAATGTCCAGCCAGCTGCATGGCCCTAGAGGGTCAGAATAAACAAGAGGCTGCATTGCAGCTGTGGATAGACATACTTGTACCAACAGCAGTCCATTCTCCAAGCTAACCCACATCCTAAGTACACTTGCCACTCACGTCAATGGATGCACATGGCACTGTCTACCAGCAGGTCTGACAGAGGAGAGGCTCTTCCTCACCACAAGGACCAGAGCAGAGAGGTCTCCTGTCAAGCCTTAAGAAAGCAGAAAGGCCAGACACAGGTCATGGATGTTTCTCTCTACCTCCTGTAATCCCTCATTTGCCATGGTTTCCACAGTAAGTTGTATGTGGGGCATTTCTCCTGACTAGCTCTCACATGGATGCTGAGTAAGGCAAATCAGGAAGAGAGAAGGGAACGGGATTTTTATTCTCATTCCTCTTACCTCTGCCTCAAGAGATAACCTGCAGGTGATCCCCCTTCCAGCTCAATCCATCCAACTTCCATGGGGCTGGTCATCTTCCCCAAGGCACCCCACACCCACTAACCAACTGCACAAAATGAGATTTAATCAGGCCACTGTGAGTGAAGGAGACACATTGCCACACAGTTTTTCCAGATTCCAGTACAAAGAGACCATAAAAAGACTGTTCTCACTCAGATTAAAAGTTCACCTCAGCCATTAGACTTTCTCCAAACATAGCTGATGTCAGAGCCTCAATGAGAGATGCTGTCTCTGTGACAAAGACATTTAAAGTAACCCACAAATTATAAAAAACATGTTGCAGAAACATGTAATACCAGGAAGTGCTACAGAAAGCCTCTGGGCCCAGGACAAAGTACCTATGTTTTCTCCAGCCTGTAGTACCTCAGGGATGGAACAATCCAACACTTGCAGTAGTCAGGGCCAGGATTTCTGGAGCTCCTGTGACAGGGCACATG